ATTTAAGGTAACCAGAACGTCCGAACCTAAGCCACCCACCTTAACCTATTGAGTCCGATGCATGGAAAACGGGGATATTTGCGAGCCGTTGCTTTTCATAATAGGACGCATTTGTAACGTTTGTTTCAATAACGTAATAAAAACGATCTATTAGTTGAGAGGGGGGGAGGGGGGTGACAGTAATTAAATGTTAAGAGAGAGAGAGAGAGAGAGAGAGAGAGAGAGAGAGAGAGAGAGAGAGAGAGAGAGAGAGAGAGAGAGAGAGAGAGAGAGAGAGAGAGAGAGAGAGAGAGAGAGAGAGAGAGAGAGAGAGAGAGAGAGAGAGAGAGAGAGAGAGAGAGAGAGAGAGAAGACATCACGTGACGGCATGATGCGCGTCCTGCGGTGCCCGGGTCGCCATGCTCCGCAACACTCAACCCCACAGGTATGCTGGGAACTCCGTAGCATACCTTCCCGGTATGCCACCCTAGTATACCTCCCTAGTATACCTCCCGGTAAACCTTCGAGAGGCTGCTACAGCCGTTTACATTATCATAAAATCTGTGAACACAAATATCTGGGATTTTTGCGTGGAGTGGGAGCGGGTCCGAGGCTTTTATTGTGGTGATTATTTTACTTGTCAGTGGTAGAGGGTGGGTGAGGGGGGGGGAGGGGAGGGGAGGGGAGGTGGGGGAGCAAGAATGTAGAGGAGAGAGAGAGAGAGAGAGACGGGGGGGGGGAGGAGAAGTGAGGGAAGGAGGGGAGAACGATAGATAAAGGAGGCGGAAGTAAGGTGGAGAGAGAATTTCATTTGGAGATAAAAAGCTAAACCTGACAGAAAGTTGTTGGTGGAGATGGGACCTGAGATGACGGCAGGGGGGGGGAGGGGGGGAGGGGGGAGGGGGGAGGGTGGAGGGGGGGAGGGGGGGAGGAGGGGGGGGGGGGAGGGGGGGGAGGGGGGAGGGGGGAGGGGGAGGGGGAGGGGGAGGGGGGAGGGGGAGGAGGGGGAGGGGGGAGGGGGGGGACTAAGATCAAGGCAGAATACGGTTAGGAATATGAGTTAAAAAAAATCACAAAAAATGACATCCAGAAAGAAAAGCCAGTTTCTACCAAATCCGAAAGATCTTGAGTTATTAGTTGGTAGATGTATAGATGTATTTGTATAATCAAATA